TCCTCTTGTCACCTCAGCCCAGCTATCCACTTCCATGCTCACACCTAGACCCTGCCATTAGCAATTACTGCAAACTGTTCAAAATTCAATGGCAAGTATCCCGACCTGCAAGCACTGACCCTTCTTCTCTGAGCTCACTATCTCTGGTATGCGGAAAACACCAATTCTTCAGCACCACTAACGCTATCACCCCTTCACGCCCCCACTTCCCTGCTTAAACTCCAAGGTCCAAGTGGGGAAAGAACGGTCTCTTTAATAAACAGTGCTGGAAGAATGGATGTTCACGTGCAGATAATGAACTGGGACCCCTATCTTACATCACTCACAAAAATGAACTCAAAATGGACTGACGACTTAAATGTAAGACTTGCTACCATGAAATTCCTAGAAGAGAACATAGGGGAAAAGCTCCTTGACATTGGTCTTGGCAATAATTTTATGGATTTGACACCAAAAGCACAGTCGACAAAAGGAAAAATAAACAAGTAGGACTGCAACAAAATTAAAAGCTTCAGCACAGAGAAACAAGCAATCAACAAAATGAAAAGGCAGCCTACAGCCTGGGAGCAAATGTTTGCAAATGGTATCTCTAATGAGAGGTGAACGTCCGAATATAAGGAACTCACATAACTCAACAGCATAAACCCCCAAATAATCCAGTTAAAAATGGGTGAAGGACTTGAATAGACAATTTCAAAAGGAGACATACCCATCACTATGAGGTACCTGAAAAGGTGCTTAACATCATTAATCATCAGGGAGATGCAAATCAAAACATGAGGTATGACTTCATACCTGTTAGAATGACTGCTAAGACAACAACAACAAAAATCCCAAAAGAGAAAAAACAACACAAAAAAATAAGAGATAAGTTTGGAGAGGATGTGGAGGAAAGGGAACCCCTGTGCACTGTTGGTAGGAATGTAAATTGGTGCAGCCACTGTGGAAAGCAGTATAAGAACTTCTCAAAAAATTTAAAATAGAACTGCCATATGTTCCAGCAACTCCACTTCTGGATACACACACACACACACATGCTGTATGAGTATGTGTATACACATACACACACACGCAAAATGAAATCAGTAAAATCAGTATCTAAAAGAATTATCTGCTGTCCTGTGTTCACTGCAGTATTATGAGAATAGCCAAGGCATGGAAACAAGCTAAGTGTCCATCAACAGATGAATGGATAAAGAAGATGGGATGTGATACACATGAAACAGTATTCAGCCATTAAAAAGAAGAAAATCCTGTCATTTGCAATAACATGGTCAAAACCTTGAGGACATTATGCTAAGTGACATACGTCAGACAGAGAAAGATAAATACTGTATGACCTCACTTACAGGTGGATTCCAAAAATGCCAAACTCCTAGGAACACAGAGCAGACTGGTGGTTGCCAGGGCCTGGGGAGGTGGGGGGTGGCGGGGGCAGGCAGATGTTCGTCAAAGGCACAGACTTCCAGTTACAAAAGGAATGAGTTCTGGGAATCTGCTGGTGACTACAGTGAACAATACTGTGTTGGATACATTCACTGAACGTTGCTAAGAGAGTAGATCTTAAATATTCTCATCACACACACAAAAATGATAACTATATGGGGTGATAGTGTGTCAACTAACCTTATTGTGGTAATCATCTTGCAATATACACATATATTGAATCACACCTTAAACTTACAGTGTTGTCTTTCAACTATATCTGAACAAAGCTGGAAAATAAACCCCATGGTCCACTGTTGTAATTATTCTCTTGCACATAACCACAACTCATTAGTTCCTCTCTCCCTTCACGGCACAAGTCTGGCAAAACTCAAACCCTAGTTAAATTCAACCATCTGTGACTACTTTTGCCTGTGCCTCCCTTACAAATGCATGGCAGCCCTATCCTATTTTATTTCACTAAGGAGTTCACTCTCCCATTCTCTGAGATGGTTAATTTATGTTTTCCTTTCTCCTTAAACTTCCAAAGTCCCTTCCCTTTTCTTCACTCTTAGCTAATCACCTTGCTGTCAATTTCCACTAAGAGAAGAGAACCTCCCTTCATCTTACCACCAAACTCACCCCCATTTCCACATTCTCCCCAAGCCCCCACCCGACTTCTCTGCTCTCTCTTACAGCAAAACTCCTGAAAGGGTTACCTAAACATGATGTCCCCACTTCCTTTTCTGCTCTCTGATTAGATTTTCATCCCCAACAGTATCAGGACTATTCCTTTCAAAGTCTCCAGTGTTACCAAGGGCAACGGTCAATTCCCACACCTCGTTTTACTGGACCATCAGTAGCTTTCGACCCTTGCTCACTCCCTCTTCCTTGAAACTCTTCCTCTTCCTGGCTGTTGGTACATCTCGTGGCTCTCTTCTACCTTAATGGCCAATCCTTCTCAATCTTCCTTCCTAGGTCCTCATTTCCTGACTTCTAAATATTGGAGGGGCCTGGATTACCATCCTAGACCTCTCCTCTACCCACATCCACTCCCTAGGTTTTGTCATTCAGTTCAATGGCTTTAAATGCCATCTATATACTGATAACTCCTACACCCACTTCTCTAGCCTTCCCCCCAAAGTCTAGACTAGTACATCTAATTGATTCCTTCATATCAGTAGGGATACAATGGACACCCCAAATTTAACATGCCTCAAACCTGAAATTTCTCCCCAAATCCTGATCCCCCGAGGCACCATTCTCCAAGATGATGCCCATCTCCTGGAAGTCACATCCTCATGCATTCCCCTTCCACAATGGATAGGGCTGACTTGTGCCACCCCTAGTATATTGCAGAAACGATGGTGTGCAACTTTGGAGGCTAGGTCATAAAAGAAATTGTGGTTTTCACCTCTCTCCTAGATCACTTGACCAGGGGGAAGCGACCTGCCAAGCTGTGAGGACACTCGGCAGTCCTACCGAGGGGCCCACATGGTGAAGACACAGAGATACCCTGGCCACAGCCAGATGTGTGAGCGCTTTAGATGCAGCTCCTCCAGCCTCAGTCAGGCCTTTAGATGACCGCGGGCCCAGCCAACAGCTTCACTCCAATCTCCTGAGACACTAAACCAGAACCAGTGGCTCAGTTTGTTGTTCTAAGTCACTAACTTCTGGAGTAATTTGATCCACAGTAGTGGATACATAATATTCCCCTGCCTCTCCCACACAACACAAAAAAATCCTCCCCCTCTCTGGTCATTCTTACCTCGATTCATCCATTTGCCCAGGCCGAAAGCTTTGGAATCAAAGCCTTCACTGCTCTCTGTACCTCATATCCAACCCTACAGCAAATCCTAATGGTTTTACTGGTGTTCAACATGTAGCTATTGAATGAATGAAGGATACAGCTCACCAACAGAGCAATCCCTATGGTATGAAAAATCATGGCTTTGAGGAGCATTTTGTACGGTGGAAAACAATTAAAGATATTGGGCAGCTTCCTAGAGAGAAGTGGAGAAACTAAAAGTGAACAACTACTCTGTACTAGGCATTATACACATATTACTTCAACTGATCCTATAATTCCAGGAGGTGGGAACCACTGTTTACCACCACTTTATAGCTGAGGGCATACACTGAAAGACACAGAACTACATCTGAACTCTGGTAATCTAACTCAAGAATATAAACTCTTAACCTTAAGCCACCTTACATTCCAAAAGGAGAGAGCATTAAGTGCTGAATTCAGCCAACAGGATGGGAAAGCAAACACTCAGAGAAGCTTGGGTTCATCTACAGGAAGTCTGCTGAGGCAACAGGACCCATCCTCAAACTTCTGTTACTCAAACCATGACATGCAAGGACTGGGGACATCTGAGAATGAGAGCCAGGTAAGGGTATTCTTCTCAACATACAGAGGCTAGGAGCCTGGATTTCAGGCCTCTCTGATTAATAGCTGAGAGACCGTAGGCAAGCCATTTGACTTCTCTGGGTCTTAGTTGCTTCATTGGTCATGAGGCCAGCCACAAACCACTTGCCAGACATAGGGCTTGGGCACCTCCAGCTTCTGGGATCTGAGATCAGGCCCCCTCCCCTAGTTACCATGCCGCTCTGCCTCTGAGCTCACGGGGATGCCATCCTTATCCAGCCGTTGCTTGAACAGGTTGTGTTCCACATCCAGCTGCTGTTCACCAGCTACATCCATGGCATCAATGCTCAGATCTGGAAGCAGGAAGCCAGGTAAGGTACTGAGAGTCTCTGGGCAAGGGAATCTGGGTTTTGGAGAGTAGGGGATGCTGGGCCTGTCTTGGGGTAGCAATGGGTTAGGGGAAGGGATTGACCTGGGCTCCAGTCCAGAACCTCAGGCTGGAAGTGTAAATCTGGAAGCTGACCTGAGAACCCTGGGACTTGCAACTCCCACCCTGTGGGAGGTACTCACAGGCACAAGGCATACGCGGAAAAAATACATCAATGTTGATCTTCAGTTTATCTCCCCGTGACTTGTCCACGTAGAGTTCAGGATGCACCTGGGGCAGTACTACCTCAGTAAGATTTGGCCCCATGCCCCATTCCCATTCCTGATGATGCTAGTCCTATAATGTCAAGGCCTGCAAACGTACTCGGCCCCGCCCCTTACCTCTGTGGTTAGGTAATACTGCAGCTCGGACAGGAACAACAGCAGCATGAGAAGGCCACTGATAATGGTCACTGCAGGGCAGGAAGAGAGGGTCAGAATGGCCTCTGCTCATCTCTCCCTGCCCTGGCAGGCCAGACAGAGTGCAGGAACCGTAGCCAATCTCCAGGACACCCCTCACCCCGAGGCCCCCGCCCCGCCACTGCATACCCGTGGCGCCCCCACAGGTCTTGACCCGGAAGTCCTCCAGAGTCTTAGGGTAGGCATCGAACTGCTTCAGCTTCCCCAGCGCCTCCATGGGGACCAGCCGGAAAGCGGATGCCAGCCGGCCCGCCCCTGCAGCCTCCAGCTTCCGGTCCGGAGCTTGAGCCCCGCCCCACTCTCTGCACGCAGGCGCAGCAAGGCGCACGCTCAGCCCCGCCCCTCCTCACCCGCACTTTCTCAGGCTGTCGGTCCTGCAGTGCTACAGGTGACCTTGTCTGGACCCCGTCTGCTGGCAAGTGCTTCCTCAGTCAGGGTGGTCGTCTGTGGACCGGGGTGCCCGGAGGAGGTCTCTGCGAGGTACAGACAGCAATAGCAGCCTCTTGTCCAGCTTACGCTGGGAGCATCGTCAAGAGTTTCACATCAGACTCTCGGAACAACTTGGAACCTTCTAGAACAGTGGTTTTCAAAGTGTCCCCAACCAGCAGCCTCATTATTACCTGGAAACGGATTAGAAATGAAAATTATCGGACCCCAACACAGACCTGCTGAGTCAGAACCCTGTAGGTGTGGCTCCCAGGTTTCAGAATCACCGCTGTAGTAAGTAGGTGTGACATCCATTTTCTGGAGGAGAAACTGGCCTGGAGAAGCTGGGTAACTTGCGGCTACATCCCAGCCCATTAATGGCAGGGTCTGATTCCAACCTGTTTCTTCTGGACCTCAAAAGACTCCGAGCCAAGACCGTGGGGCAGATTTTACACAACAGCACCACTTCTGAGCGAGGCTCATGGTGGTGCACGGCCCAAATCTTTTCAGTGATGTAAGACCAGGACTTGGGTGAGAGACGTCTGTAGGAGAAAGTGACTGACGTGCTAGGTTAGAGAAGGCTTCCAGGAAGAGGAGGAGGGACACTGGAGCTGGGTGCCTTGTGGCAGTCTGGGGAGAGGTTGAGCAAGGCCAGAGTCCCCCTTCTGCCCTCAGGCTTCAGTTTGCTAGGGAAGGGGAAAGGACTAACATTAACGGAGAACTGACAATATGCTAAGTGCTGTAACCCATTCATTCCACCATCAGAACAACCTTGGGGAACCAAGCGGTGAATTGACTTTGACCGAGGTTGTAGGGTTAGTTAATATAGGGTTAGTTAATGGAACTTGAATGGAATTCAAGGCCTCTTTTTTTTCTGCTTCTAGAGCTGGGTCTTTTCCACGCATAAGCTGCCACCATCAAGTGCAAGAGGCATTTATTCTGAAGGGTTCCCAGGGGTAACCTTAGCAGAAATTGTCCTCTCTGACCTGTGTCCACCCTGTGCCCATCCATGTTTGACTTGGAAGCCCTCCCTCCCCAGTGCGGCTCCACACTAAATGACTGATTCCTTCGCTCCTTTAATACATATTTGTACCATGGCGAATAAGGCTGTGTCAGTGGTCTCAGGGCTCTATTAAGACAGTTTCTTAGGGACTTCAGTAATCCAGGGGTCATGGAAGGAACCCCCCCAATGAGTGACATTTAAAATAAGACTTGAAGAAAGGGAAGGAACTAGGGAGGGTACGAATGGGAGGGAGAGAGGTGTTCTGAGAAGCGGAACTGCAAATGCAAAGCCCCTGAGGCAAGATGGAACTTGCAAAGTTCTAGGAACAGGATAAAGTCCGAACAGCTGGAAAATGTGTAAGATGAGTAAGGGTTTTGGATTTCCTTCTGAGTGCAATGGGATGCCATTTTAAGGGTCCAAGCAGGAAATTAGTTTAAGATCATGTCAGTCAACTGGATGAAGAATGGATGAGGAAATGGATAAAACAGAAGCCGAGATACGAGTTAGGAAGTTGTTGCAGGCTGTGGAAGGAGAACATTCTAAGTCCTTCTTTAGAAAAGGCAAGTATAATTTGAATATGAGCTTCCATTTTAATAAAAGAATCAGTTTTTCTCTGTAAAATCTTTGCTGGCTGAATATGTTAAAGGAAGGGAGTGGATCTCTCCCGGACCAGCAGCACTGGCACCACCTGCAAACATTCCCTCCTTCTCCCCCTCCCCTCCCCTCCCCCCCCTCCCCCTCTCCCTCCACCCCCCTCCCAGGGGCTAGGGAAGATGGGGAATGGCTGCTTAATGGGTATGGGGTTCTTTCTGTGGTGATGACTGTTCTGGAACTGCACCGTGGCAATGGCTGCACAACACTGTGAATGTCTTGCCGCTGAATTGCACGCTTTAAAATGGTTAAAATGGTAACATTTTTGAGTGTTTTATAACAGAAAAAAAAAAGGTTATATCAGTTGACCTAAAACAGCACTGAAGCTCACTATGCATCTTTTTCTAGATGATTTTTTAAATCTTTTTATTTGGAAGTCACTATAGGCCTTAAGACATTGCAAAAATAGTAAAGGGAGGTCCCATGTACCCATCGTCCAACTTCTCTTACCACATAGTACTGATAGTAATTTGGTAATTTGATTTCAAACCAGGCAACTGACATGGGTACAATCCAATTACCTGGACTACAGACCTTACTCAGAGTTTCTGGTGAATTGTTTTAAAAGCTATAAAATACCCAGTGCATATTGCCACTAGTTAAGATGAACTGTTTTACTGTTCTCACCCATAGAAGAAAACATTTTGACTTAAAAACATAATAAAATTATTTCCGACTTTTCCTCCCTTGAATTAAGGGGGTGGGAGTGGAGATGAAGAGAAGAAAGCAGTTTGGAGATAGAAGCAAATGGATTTAAAAATGGATTTGGAAATCCTAAGAGAGGGGGAAATCAGCATACAGGCCCATCCAGAAGCATATGGGTTTCTGGCTTCAGCAAATGGGTGGATGGCGGGACCACTTAAGGACAGAGAAGTCTTGGGAAGGCATTGGTTTAAAGGGGGAACTCCCCAGCTCAGTCTCAGGCTTGTTCAGTGTGCGGGGTCTCTGGGACAGGTCAGTGGAAGTCCAACGAGCTGCAAGACATGGCGTCCAGAGAAGAGAGGCCTGAGCCGGTTTCAGAATTGGAGAGGGGTCATTACACATCAATTGGATTTAGGTTCCTTCTTAACTCTGTCCGTGTATCCCATAAATGTTTCCTAGTTGATTTTAAGTCTTGGGGATGCAGCAGTAAAGAAGACACAAACTATGCCCCTTTCTTCATGTATGCTGCCTGTGTGTGACGGACAGGAGAGGGTGGTGGCTTTGCCCAGACAGGCTGAGGGAGGGAGGTCACAATGCACAGTCTGTGATGAGGTCTGTGCTATAACTGGGTGGTGGATGGACCCCACTGACAGCCAAGCTTTCCTCCTGCAGGGAGGATACAGGACACAGCATTTACTATCTTTCTATTCTCACACCTTCCCTCCCAGGCTCAGTTAGAGTCCTATTTGGAGGTGAGCAAATGGATGAGGAGGCAGAAGATGAGGGATTGGGAGGAAGTATGGTGTGGAGGGTGGAGGGTGGATGCTGGGGAGCCATAGAGGCCAGTGGGACAGAAGCTTGTGCGGCTGGTTGTGACCTTACCCTCTTCTTTCCTGGACCCAGGTAGAGAAGCCAGTCTGATGCCTGCCACGGAAACCATCGCCCGGGTCAGACATGAAGTGTGTGTGTCAGATTCTTGTCCTCTGGGTCTTCTCAGTGCTCCTCTTGTGTCTGATGATCCGCTGCCTGGATCGGAAACCTGAATCGGCACCCCAGGAGAAGCTGGTGTACTTGGTACCGTGCTGTGGCAACTGTCTTTGGTTTAAGTTCAAGAAGTGTGGCAGCCCAGCTGGGACCCTCAACTACTCCCTGTGCCACCAGACAGTCAGAGAAGCAAACTGCTTTGATGCATGCTGTGAGAAGATGACGGGGTCCCTGATGAGGACAACAGAGTCCGTGACCCCCAATGCTGTGTTCTGGTGGTTGGTCAGTGGTCAACACTGGGCCTAACCCCTCCCATTCTTCGCAGGCCTAGCCCATCTCCCACATCCGGCCCAAACCCCTGCCCTTGGCCCTGACTTAGCGCACCTCCCATCTTCAGAGCCTCAGCCCCTGACCTCTGGACGGGGGTTTCACCACCTGGGTCTGCTTTCCTCCCACCGGGACTTGATACCTGGGTCCTAGCCCTCAATCTCCTCCCTCTGGCTGTTCCCAGGGCATGAGCTCAGCAAGCGAGCTGGGCAAAGTGTGGGAGAAGCTGTTCAAGGTGATTCTCAGACCCTCAGTGAAGCATAGTGATCTGTACTGTGGGTCTTGTGTGCTAGTGGGGAACTCGAAGGTCTTGCGAAGGGCTTCTGGCCTCAGCAACAACGTCACCCAACACACCACAGTCTTCAGGTGGGTGCTGAGGCGAAGGCAGGGTGCAGGAAGGCCCAGACCTGTCTCCAGAGTTCTGCCAGTTTCTGTTCTCCTTCCCAGGGTGAAACCGGCCCCTGTTCAGCGCTTCAAGACAGTAGGGAACCAAACCACGGGCTTCACCTGCGGTAGGAATGCTGGGGCCCAGGGTTCCTGGAGACAGCTGCTGCTGCTTCTCCTAAAGCTTTCTGGTCTGGCATGGACTTCAGATGCTCTGAGTCAGGAGGTGATGGTCTGGGAACTCAGACATTCTTAGCATGGGGGGTGGGGAGGCCACTGCAGGATAACCTGGTGAGGGCAGCTGCAGGACATTCCCAGGTCTCAGGGGCTGCTGACACTCCTCTGACCTCCTAATTCTTTCTTAGATTTTGGAAGATGACCTAGTTCCCTAGTGAAATGGAAGATAGCAAAGACAAGGTAAGGGGATAGGAAGGAGTGATGTACGGCTGCTCTGGGAAGGGCCCCAGGTAGGCCCTCTGGCCTTTCTTCCCCAGGTCCTGGTGATCAGCTATACCTTCCTCAGGCGCAGCCAGAGCGGCAGGCTGGATAACCAGAGTCAGCATCCATCCCTGGGGCTCATGGCTCTGTTCTGTGCCCCAGCTCAGTGTCTATTCCTTCCCCACCTAAAATGCCCCTCCCCTATGCCTTCAGCATAGACCCTAAAATTTCCATCTGGCTTTCAAGACCCTCCATGATCTGACCCTTCCCCGCCCCTCCCCCAGGCTCACACACTGGGCTTGTTGGATTCCCCCAACACGCCAGCTGCCTGTGCCTTCTCACTCACTGTTCTCTGCCTGGAATGCCCTTCTCTTGTCTCCCTGGGGAATCCTCTCTCTCCCTCCAATGTGAGGAGGAGCCGCTAACTGCTGCTCTCTTTTTTATGCTCTGGGATCATTCTCTGCATTCACAGTCTGTCTTTCCCGGAAAAAGTGAGCTCCATTCTCCTCCCAGCTCCATGAGGCCGCCTGTCACACTTGATGGCTTTTCTTTTTCACACCTGATGTTGAATGAGGTGTTGGATGAGGGGAGGGGAGACAAGGGCAGGATTCCTTTGTTAAAACATACATTTCTCTCTCATTCACCAGGATACCCCTTTTGGATTTGGATCAGAGAAGCAAGGAAAATGAGAGGATGTTAATCAGAACAACGACCCTGTGGAGGTTACCACCTAGCACAGAAGCAGAAATGGAAGTCAGCCAGAGGGTGTGTTGAGCAAGCTCACCATCCACATGTGATGCCCTGCCCTGCCGGTCCACACAAGTCCTAGTCCTTTGGTCCTGAAAGCAGGAGAGTCTTGAGATTTTAGCAGCAACAGTAGAGAACTTTCGGGGTGAAGGGTAAGAGGAAACTGTGTGGTCATCAGTCGGGTACTGAATAAAATCCTGGTCAGATTCTCTTACCCGTGAGGACAGTGTCAGGGGAGGAAGGGCCTGACTTGACTTCCTGATCTCAGGGGCAATATTTCCATGGCTTTCTCTGCATGTCCCTGGATCATGCAGATGGTATAAATTTAGGCCCAGACTCAGTTCTTGGATAAGGAATTGAACCACAGGATAAAAGAAATGAGCCTCCTTATTTCATCCTATGCTGGAGGGTGAATTTTTTTCTAGCTCAGCTGTTCACTGAAGGTTGAGTGTTTTCTAGGGGCCTCATTCCAATTCCCGGTCTCCCCTGGGCTCAGGCTCCTCTGCCCACATGGGCACTGAACTCCTGAATTCCCAGGCTGCCACTAAGGCAGCTCAAGGACCGACCTCCCTCCTCCCTCCCTCCCTCCCTCCCTTCCTTCCTTCCTTCCCTCCTTCCTTCCTTCTTTCCTTCCAGAAGGGGAAGGGAGGGAGAAAGAGAAGGAGAGAAACATCTATTGGCCACCTCCCACATGCCCCCGACTGGGAACCCTGCCTGCATTGGAAACATGTGCCTGGACGGGGAATCAGGGAATTGAACCAGTGACCCCCAGGTTCACCGGCTAGCACCCAATCCACTGAACCAGGCCCATGCTGTTTTTCAGTTCTTTCTATTTCTGGCATCTGGGGAACTCCTATTTCTTTCTCTGCTCTGCATTTAAAATAATTTTTATTAAAAACAGTGTATATATGCTTATAAATTTTCCAACTAACTCAGAAAAGAAAGGATACGCAAGACATTAGGACTAGTAAGTAGTTGCCTCCGGGGAGGAGATTGGCTAGGCAGAGAGCCAGGGGGCGAGTGGGTTCTTTCTTTTCGTATACTGTTTGCACCTGTTGGACTGTGTGCCACGGACCCGTACTCTACATTCAAAAATACATACAATTTAAAAAATTTGCCCAGGCTGGTGTAGCTCAGTGGATTAAGTGCGGGCCTGTGAACCAAAGGATCGCAGTTCAATTCCCAGTCAGGGCACATGCCTGGGTTGCAGGCCAGTTCCCAGGAGGGGATGCAAGAGAGGCAACCATACACTGATATTTCTCTCCCCTTCTCCTTCTCTTCCCCTCTAAAGATAAATAAATAAACTATTTTAAAATAAAAAAAATTAATGCTATGTTTGGATCAGCAGTTCTGGATTATTGTAGGAGAGATTTCATTATTTTACTAGAAATGGAGGCAAAACTACTATCTCCACAGGCCGAGGGAGCTCTCCGGCAGGGCCGTGTGTTGAGTATGTGACGAGGCCCACGAGTTCTGAGCGCAGCAACTCATTGCCTTATTGTCATGGGGAACAGAAAGGCAATTCACAGAAAGTTACACAGAATTGCTCTGTGGGCCAGCAACTCCAGTCTTAGGTAGACGCTCAAGAGAAATGGAAACGTATGTCTCCACAGACACCTGTACACACTTACGGCAGCATTATTCGTAACAGCCAAATGGAGGAAACAGTCCAAATGTCTGTCAGTGGATGAGTGGATAAACACATTGTGGTCTCTCTGTACAATGGAATATTATTCAGCCATTAAAGGAGCTGAGTACTCTTGGCCGGTTTGGCTGGGTTGGTCGGAGTGTAGTCCTGTAAGCCACAGGGTCGCGGGCTTTGTTTTCAGCCGGGGCGCTTACCTAGGTTGTGGGTTTGGTCCTGATAGGGGTGTGTACAATGGGTGGCTGATAAATGTTTCTCTGTCTCTCTTCCTCGCTTCTCCTCTCTCTAAAATTGGTAAGCATGTCCATGGGTGGGGATAAAAGATGTTTTTAGAAAGGAGCAGAATATCACTATATGTGGCAAGTTGGATGAATTTCAAAAACCTTATGCTTAGTGAAAGAAGCCAGGTACAAAAGAGTACATATTATATGATTCCTTTTTAAAAATATTTACTTATTTTTAGAGAGAAGGGAAGGGAGGGAGAAAGAGGGAAAGAAACCTTGATGTGCAAGAGATCCATCAGTTACTTGCCTCTCACACACCCTCAAGTATGGACCTGGCCTGCAACCCAGGCACGTGCCCTGACTGGGAATTGAACCAGTGACCTTTCGGTTTGCAGGCCAGCACCCAATCCACTGAGTCACACCAGCCAGGGCTATATGATTCCTTAAACGATCTATCCAGAAAAGGCAAATCCATAGAAATAGCAGATTAGGATTACCAGGGATTGGGGCAGAAGAGAATGGTGAGTGATTGATTATTTGATGAGTACAGGATTTTCTAAAGTGTTGAGTGTAGAGAGTCCTGGTGGCCGCACAACATTGTAGGTAAACAAAATGCCACTGAATTGAACACTGAAATGGTTCATTGTATGTTATGTGAATTTCACCTCCATTAAAAAAGGGAGCCGCACACAAATGCATGTAGTGTGATTACAACTATAACATTAAATGCATGCAAGATTAAATAATACACTATTTGCTATGCATAGATATGTAGAAAAAGAAAACGTCAAGGGAGTAATAAGCGCAAAATTCCCAACAGTGTTAATTAACATCTGGCTGGGAAGAAGGAGCACCCAGCCGTTTTTAATAATATTAATGATGTTCTATTCACTAATGTGGGTACATGGATGTTTGTTTTCTTGCTATCTTTTATATATATATATATATATATATAAACGTTTTTCAGGGGAAAACGTTTATATCTGCTATTTCTATGGATTTGCCTTTTCTGGCTAGATCTCAACGTTTTTCAGGGGAAACCAGGGAGTGAATTATATTAAGAGACTGAACAAAAAACAAACCCAACCCATTAAAATGGTTCATTTTGCAGAAAAATGTAACAATGTCCTCATTTGTCAAAAAGTTTATTACAGGTTGACACTAACTCAACTGGAAGTTAAAAACACATATATCTTGGAGAAATACTCAGAAGTCACCAGCTAGCAAGTTTGATGTATTTTGAACGAGGATTAATGATGAGAATAGACTTAGAATAAGGCTAGTGTGGAAGCAGGGAGGGAAACGGAGCAGAGACTGGCTGGATGTTAAGCAAACCCATCTTTTTCCCCTGAGAAAACACAGCATTTTTCAGGTTGTCTTATAGTTAGGTATGGCAATGTAATTTATTCCCATTCAGTGTATGTCTACATATTTCCCCACATAGAATTCTTTTTCCCCCAACACCCTTCTATGTGCTGATACCCACATGAAAATCTAGCCATCCTGTGTCAAAGATGACAGAGACTCATTACCTTACTGGGCACCTGAACACTTCATGCAACAGGAGGATTTCATAACAGAACGTAAATGTTACCCTTGACGACATCAAAGTTCAAAATACCAACAGTGGGAAATGCGAAGAGGAAACAATTGACAGATAGAAGTATATAGACACAATGCCCTCATTTCAGAGAAAGGGCTTCAGGAAACCTTGTCCTGCCCTGGCCGGGTGGCACAGTGAGAGTATCGTCCCGTACACCACAAAGGTTTAGGGTTTGATCCCCGGTCAGGGTACATATCTAGGTTAGGGCACAGGAAGCCACCAATCAATGATTTTTTTTTCTCACATTGATGAATCAGCAAACTTGTCCTCAGGTGAGGACTGAAAAAAAAAAGAGAACTTGTCTCGAAGTGACAAGCTGGAAAATACAGGTTAGGGTTCACTAAGTGACTGAGTGACTGTTGCTGAGCATAACGACCATATAGGGCAGGTGGTCTATATACAGCATCATGATGTAGTGGTGTAAGCGCCTAGAGATATGGAAGCAAATGCCAGCAAGAAGGGCTAGAAGGGGAGGCCCGTGAAGAGCCGTCTTAGGGAAGGAGGAGAGGAGGAGGGCAAGCAGGCTGCTGCTCCCCATCGAAAACATTTCCAATGATAAGATTTTTTTGAGGGGGGAAACTATTTCCATAGATTTGCCTTGGTTGTAATTTTCTTTCTTTTTTTTTTTTTGACGTTCACTTGTTCTTTATTTTTTTTTAAATTTTTTTTATTGATTATGCTGTTACAGTTGTTCTATTCCCCCTTTATTCCCCTCCACCCTACCCCCCATCCCCACCATCACCCCCCCTTTAGTTTATGGCCATGTGTCTCAAGTCCTTTAGATTCTATATTTCCCATGCTATTCTTGCCCCCCATCTATTTTCTATCTACTGTCTATGCTACTTATTTTCTGTACCTTCTCCCCCCTTCTCCTCCTCCCACTCCCCTGTTGCTAACCCTCCTTGAGATCTTCATTTCTATGTTTCCACTCCTGATCTAGCTGTCCTTTTAGTTTGCTTTTGTTTTAGGTGTGGTTGTTAATAACTGTGAGTTTGCTGTCCTTTCACTGTTCATGTTTCTTTAACTTCTTTTTCTTAGATAAGTCCCTTTAACATTTCATATAATAAGGGCTTGGTGATGATGAACTCCTTGAATTTGATCTTATCTGAGAAGCACCTTATCTGTCCTTCCATTTTAAATGAAAGTTTTGCTGGATAGAGCAATCTTGGTTGTAGGTCTTTAGATTTCATGACTTGGAATACCTCTTTCCAGCCCCTTCTTGCCTGTAAGGTCTCTTTTGAGAAATCCGCTGACAGTCTGATGGGGACTCCTTTGTAGGTGACTGTCCCCTTAGCTCTTGCTGCTTCTAGGATTCTCTCCTTCATTTTAATCTTGGCTAATGTAATTACGATGTGCCTTGGTGTGTTCCTTCTTGGGTCCAACTTCTTTGGTACTCTCTGAGCTTCCTGGATTTCCTGGAAGTCTATTTCCTTTGCCAGATTGGGGAAATTCTCCTTTATTATTTGTTCAAATAAGTTTTCCACTGGTGGCTGTGCCTTTCCCCCTTCTGGTACCCCTATAATTTGGATGTTGGAGCGTTTAAAGATGTCCTGTAGGTTCCTAAGACTCTCCTCATTTCTTTGAATTCTTGCTTCTTGACTCTTTTCTGTTTGGCCATTATTTGCTTTCTTCTGGTCCACTCCATTGATTTGAGTCCCAGTTTCCTTTTCATTGCTATTGGTGTCCTGTGCAATTCCATTCATTTCAATTAGTTTCGCCTTCATATATTTGTCTAATTTGTCGGTATAATCAACCAGTTCTGTGAGGATCCTGATCACCAATGTTTTAAACTGTGCGTCTGTGAGTTTTGCTATTTCTTCATCGCTTAGATTTATTGGCTCTGGGGCTCTGAGATCCTCCTGCGCCATTCTTGGTCTGTTCGGGCCCTTTAAGAAGCGGCGCCTTGGATTCCCAGGTCGCTGGGTCGTGACGCTGTATGTGGAGGTGGGGTCAGAGCAGGGAAATGGCGGTTCCCTCCACTGCCGCTTGCGGTGGGGACCTGCCGGCCCGGTCCAACCGCCCACTCCCTCGCCTGTCCACCCTCGCACAAATGCGTGACCTCAGTCAACACGCAGCCCCGAGCCCGGCTGTCTCCCCCGCGGTCGCTCGCCTGGTTGCTCGCTGGGTCGCTCACTAGGTCCCACCCTGCACCTGGATTCCGCCGGCCTGAGTGTGTCTGGCCGAGTCCTCCTGTGCAACCCTGCTCCGCCAGCCGCTGGTTTCGCCCCTTACCGGTCAGGCTGAAGAATTTGTTGTTAACGGACTTCCGAAAAGTTCAATTTTCTGTGTTCTGGCTGTGTTTTCTGTTGCTAATATTTAGTTTTCTCTAATCTTGGTTGTGTGAGAAGGCACGGCACATCCACCTATGCCTCCATCTTGGCGGAAGTCCCTCTGTAATTTTCAAAAAGAAAAGCAATTCAACCCCTGAGAGGTTCTAAGGGTTGAATACACCAATAGGATAAATTCTCTCTGACCCAGGAGGTTCCAAGCAGCCCTTGGTTTCCCGATCATGTCTCCCGCGTGCCCACTCCAGACTTGCCTCGTGGCGGCTCCCTCCTCACCCTCCTGCCCCCTTGACACCGACTTCCAAGCCTCCCTTGTCAGCTGGCTCTGGGCTGAATGCCAGGGTGGAGGCTGCCTTGCCAATAGCCTACCAGAGGAGGTCACAATGTGGTCTCTGTGATGGGGTCCCCGACGTAACTGGGCTGGCATGAAAGACCTCTCTGGGCCTCAGTCTCCCCTAGGAGACCACAGGACACAAGTGTCACCTCTCCTGTCCTTCCAGCCTCAAGCCTCAGACCTTGA